CCCCAAAACCCCAAAACCCCAAAACCCCAAAACCCCTTGATGAAGGGAGAAAATTGAAATTTTAGGAAAAATTTACAGATTTTTTAGTATTTTAGAGAGTAGTTATTGACCAGAGATGGTTTAGATCAGTGTGAGAGGCATGAGACATGGAGAATCCTGGCTCCAGAACTTGGAAGTCCAGACCTGCGCTGGGCAAAGTTTCTCTTAAAAGATTATATTGATAAGGAAGATATTAAGGTGAACAAACAAACTGAATGTATTGGAAGATATTCACTGTAGAGTTTTGGTCAAGATATTTGATCTCCTTGTACTGGGTCTTTAATAATTCTTGTTTGATCCTGGCCGTCATTCTTAATTTCAAAGAATTGTACCTCAACTTTGTAAGTAGGGTTTTTATAATGCTGTATAGACGGATATTTTTGAATAAGCCTGCTCCTATTCTTTTGGAAATTCTGACTGGAACTTTATGACCAACTTGAGTCAATTCTTGAGCAGGCTTTTCAGGTACTCTTATTAATCTCTTTGGAGCAGGAAGGAATCTTGTTCGCTAGAGGTTACTTTTAGGGGCTACAGTAAGGCTCAACTAGTATCATAGTTACTTATTACTCGTAATAAACAGTTTTAAGGTATAAACATAAAGTTCATGTTGTCCAGACCAATATAGCATTACCAATATAATTCTGTTGAGTATATTCCCAGTCTTAGAATGTTATCTCTCAAAATGCCATAATAGGCCTTTTGGGCTATTCAATATCATTAAAATTACTCAGAAATAGCTCAACCTGTTAGGCTTGGCTTCATTTTTATTCGGTTCAGCATAAAATTTGGTAGAAATTATCTGCATTTTGTTTAGGAATATTTACTAAAAATATTCCTTCTCTTATCAACAGAGCTAGCGTTTAGTCTATAATAGCAATTATAGATTCAGGAATCCTCATTTCCAATGTAAAGGCTCTAAGGATCCAACTCTGTGGGTTGCAGCCGTTCCATTGTTGAAATAAGTGGTTTATTACACTCGATCTTTGATAAAACCCTTTAGCACATAAATCCGAAATTAGATTTCAAATCCTTGGATGTAAAATTTTTTCAAAGTTTTATCCTGAAACCTGTGATCGATAAATTTTATACTAGAGTAAGAATATTTATCAAGAGACTTTAGTCCCTAAAAGATTAGGCTCTTGATTTTTAGCCATGTTTATCTCAAAAATAGGTTAAATATGTCTCAAATTTCCTACATCAATGTAGATAGGAAGTTGACATAAGAAAGATATGGTAAACTACAGGTACATTCGAAGGAGACCAAAGCCATTAACTCTAGGCTTAAGGAGTTTAAGATAGTTTCTTCTAGCTTTCGATGCATTTTCTAAACAAGCCAAGTTAATTCATACATGAATTAACTTCTCTAATCTTAAATTTCACGGAAATCAGTGAATTTCCTCCATCAATGGGGATTATCGAGTAAATTCTGATAGAATTCCGCTTGATTTTATCTGAAATTTCTCATTGACTGAAGCCTGATACAGTCGATGATTGTTGCTAGAAAGAATTGAAGTTTAAGACTGTATTAAATGAGAATAATATCAATAGACAGAAGTTATGCGGTAAAGTTTGATAATTAGGAAGCTTTTAATTAGAAAATTTATGTCTCCAAGTCAGTAAATGCTGCTCAGATCATGGTTGGTCTTGATACTACAGGGTTCAGAAAGAAGAGCGATTTGTTAATTATTTATAATGTTGGCGGCTTAGAATCTATAATTAGCCTTCAGATGAAGTGTGCAAAGAAGGCGAAGATCATAGTGATTGTTGTACCTACTCATAAGAAATCTTCCTAAAACGCATCTTGTGCTCAGAATGAGCTTAATTTTTCTAGGAGCAAATTTTGAGCATCAGTTTCTTTCTTCTTGAGGAATTCTCAAAAGTTATCGGTGACACCTTCATCCCTTTCCACTCTTTCTATCCGCATTTTTAAATATTAATCAAGTTTGAATGTTTAATTTTATCTTTAAATATCTGGTCCCAATACTTTCTATAATTCTGACTGGTCTGGGGTTTTGGGGTTTTGGGGTTTTGGGGTTTTGGGG